TTCCTTGTGGCAAAAGTAGGCCCCTGGACAAGAAAGTGTCCTTGCCTCAACTGCTGACATGTGCTGTCCTAATGGGACAAGCAGGAAACAAAAGAGAGTGACTGGCAAAACTTGCCCAGACAAAGCAGGATAGCCCTTCAAAAACCTTGCTTCACAGAAAAGTCTGTGAGATAGTCTAGGCCTGTAGGCTGAAGATGGATGCCCCAATGTTGGAAGAATTTTTAGTGACTGTCCGAGCAACCAGCTGTTTCTGTCATTACTCACACTTTTTGGAAGTCGCTCGCATATACTTCCTGATTACTCAGTTAATATTATTTCCTTCTTGAGTCTCTGAGGTAATTGAAGACTAGATAGTTATAGTCATAGTTTTTATTGTTTATGAGACTCAGAAAAGAAATTCACTAAAGAAATGTAAAGTATATAAGGTGGAGAGATATCAAAAGCTAGTTTTGGATAGTAAAGCAAGTTATGATAGAAATTAAATTAGGTACAAGACTTTGGGACTTACCAAGATAAGATAAATATGGAATATTTTCTTTGAATTTGTCAAATGAAAATGGACTAGACATTGTTGATATATTTATTGCCTGCATAAATTATAGTTATTGTAATAATATTATAATAATTATAATAAACCTATTGCATATAGCTTTTCTTATATTAGTAATAGTCCTTTTTATTTTAGACAAAAAGGGGAAATATAGTGATATTTAATTTATGTTTTATAAATAAAGCTTGTCTGAAGATCAGAGGGTAAAACTAAGCCAGTAGAGGCCAGGCAGTGGTGTTACACACCTTTAATCCCTGGATTTGGGAGACAGAAGCAGATGGTTGTCTGAGTTCAAGGCCACCATGAGCTATACAAGATCAATGTAGAAACAGATCCTGGTGGCTGCGGTTCACACCTTTAAACCCAGTACTAGGGAGTCACATACCTTTAATTCCAGCACTAGAGAGGAATATAAGGCAGGATGAGACAGAAACTTGCTGTTTTTCAGTCTGAGGATTTGTTAGAGGTAAGAGCTCTCTAGTGGCTTGGCTGCTTTGCTTTTCTAATCTTCAGGTTGAACGCCTGAATATCTGTCTCTGGGTTTTTATTATTCTTGCTACATTTAATTTCCATTTTCAAAGGTTAAGATTAGTTCATCTGAGCTGGGCATAGTCACACAAACTTTTAGTCCCAGAAATTAGAAGGCAGAGACAGTCAGATCTCTGTGAGTTCCAGGCCAGCCAGTGCTAGACAGGAAGACCTTGAGGGGGAGGCAAATGTGGCAGGGTATGGCAGGACACACTTGTAATTTTGAACTCAAGAGGATCTCTGAGTTCCAGAATCTTCTGGTCAATACAGAAAGTTCTAAGTCAGCAAATCCAGGGCTATATAGTGAGACTCTTGTCTCAAAAACAAAATCAAATCTCTTAACTAATCAAAAGGTAGGTTTTCCTGCACAATTTACAGGAAGAGATGTGAAGCACTATATTTCTGAGAGTCACATGGCATCACGTACCATATGAGATGATATAATGCACATGATTTTATTAAACTTTTTCTTCTAGGAGCTAAAACCTAAAAAAAAAAGATCCAATGAATAATAGTGTGTTAGTTTTCAGTCACCTTGATACAGCTATAGCTGTAGTGGCATTTCACTTGTATTTTAATAAATAAAACTTGCCTTAGTATCACAGAAAAATAAAACAGCCACACTGGTCAGCCTTATGGACCAGGCAGCAATAACACACACCTTTAATCCCAGTAGCCACACTTGCTCGCCATAGAGACCAGGTGGCAGTTGTGCACACCTTTAATCCCAGTCCTAGAGAGGAATATAAAATGGAAAGAGACAGCTCTCGGCCTCAGTCTCATTCTGAGATTTCCTGGAGGCAGGATGGCCATTTTCCACTGGGGCAGTGTTAAGAGCCAGTGGCTAGCTGTTTTGCTTTTTGGACCTTCTTTCTCTGAGTTTTTATTAATTGTGCTTCATAGAGCCATCTGGGAAAAGGGAACATCAATCGAGGCATTTCTACACCAGACTGGCCTTGTAGACAAGTCTCTGGGGCATTTCTTTTTTTTTTTTAATTTATTTATTTATTAAGGATTTCTGCCTCCTCCCTGCCACCACCTCCCATTTCCCTCCCCCTCCCCCGATCAAGTCCCCCTCCCTCATCTGCTCGAAGAGCAATCAGGGTTACCTGACCTGTGGGAAGTCCAAGGACCGCCTACCTCTATCCAGGTCTAGTAAGGTGAGCATCCAAACTGCCTAGGCTCCCACAAAGCCAGTACGTGCAGTAGGATCAAAAACCTACTGCCATTGTTCTTGAGTTCTCAGTATTCCTCATTGTCCTCTATGTTCAGCTAGTCCGGATTTATCCCATGCTTTTTCAGACCCAGGCCAGCTGGCCTTGGTGAGTTCCCGATAGAACATCCCCATTGTCTCAGTGTGTGGGTGCACCCCTCGCGGTCCTGAGTTCCTTGCTCGTGCTCTCTCTCCTTCTGCTCCTGATTTGGACCTTGAGATTTCTGTCCGGTGCTCCAATGTGGGTCTCTGTCTTTGTCTCCTTTCATCGCATGATGAAGGTTAATATTCAGGGGGCTGGAGAGATGGCTCAGCAGTTAAGAGCATTGCCTGCTCTTCCAAAGGTCCTGAGTTCAATTCCCAGCAACCACATGGTGGCTCACAACCATCTGTAAAGAGGTCTGGCGCTCTCCTCTGGCATGTGGGCATACATGTAGGCAGAATGTTATATACATAATAAATAAATATTTTAAAAAAAAAAAGGTTAATATTCAGGAGGATGCCTATGTGTTTGTCTTTGGATTCACCTTCTTATTTAGCTTCTCTAGGAACATGAATTATAAGCTCAATGTCCTTTATTTAAGGCTAGAAACCAAATATGAGTGAGTACATCCCATGTTCCTCTTTTTGGGTCTGGCTTACCTCACTCAGGATAGTGTTTTCTATTTCCATTCATTTGTATGCAAAATTCAAGAAGTCCTTGTTTTTTACGGCTGAGTAATACTCTAATATGTATATATTCCATACTTTCTTCATCCATTCTTCCGTTGAAGGGTATCTAGGTTGTTTCCAGGTTCTGGCTATTACAAACAATGCTGCTATGAACATAGTTGAGCATATACTTTTGTTGTATGATAGGGCCTCTCTTGGGTATATTCCCAAGAGTGGTATTGCTGGGTCCAGGGGTAGGTTGATCCCAAATTTCCTGAGAAACCGCCACACTGCTTTCCAGAGTGGTTGCACAAGTTTGCATTCCCACCAGCAATGGGTGAGTGTACCCCTTTCTCCACAACCTCTCCAGCAAAGGCTATCATTGGTGTTTTTTATTTTAGCCATTCTGGCAGGTGTAAGATGGCATTTCTTGATTAATGATTGATAAGGGATTGTGCGCAGATGGGCCTGGATTGTGTAAGAAAGCAAACTGAAAAGGCCGTAAGGAGAATGCTAGTAAGCAGTGTTCCTTCTGGTCTCTGCTTGAATTCCTGCCTGGGCTTTACTCACGAACTGTATGTACTGGAAGGGTATGCCAATTTATAAATTCTTTCCTCTCCACGTTGCTTTTGGTCAGTGTTTTATCTCAACGGAAAAGAAGTAGAAGCCAGGTGGTGGTGGCACACACCTTTAATCCCAGCTCTCTGGAGGCAGAGGCAAGTGGATCTCTGTGAGTCCGAAGCCAGCCTGGTCTATAGAGCAAGTTCAAGGATAGACAGGAAGAAACCCTGTTTTGAAAAACAAACAAACAGAGGAAAGAAAGAAAAGAACTAGAACATTCATTTCTATATCTACAAAAATGTAGAATTCCTAATTATGAGTAATTATCTACAGCCAAAACACAAAGTATAGACAGTTAGATCCCAATTTTAAGACTATACTGATCCAGATAAACAAATAGATGTATACCAAAATGTTAAATTATTATTTTTTTTTTGCTGGCAATAAATAAAATATCTTTATTAGGATTATTTAATAGTTAAAATCTGCATGTTTCCTTAGATAAAGTAGTTTATAACAGATAAAAAATTACAAAAGGCAAGCTCTTAATGATTCATTTGAATTAACTATAAAATCAAAATACTGCTAGTAATTTAATATCTTCTAAAGTAACACAAAATATATTAAATTATTATTTTTAAAAAGGTATTCTTTTTTTTTTTTAAATATTTATTTATTTATTATGTATACAATATTCTGTCTGCGTGTATTCCTACAGGCCAGAAGAGGGCACCAGACCTCATTACAGATGGTTGTGAGCCACCATGTGGTTGCTGGGAATTGAACTCAGGACCTTTGGAAGAGCAGGCAATGTTCTTAACCGCTGAGGTGAATGCATGACTCAAGGGTGTGTGTGCCAGAACGGAATGTAAGATCAGAGGACACCTTTGTGTAAACCGTTCTCTCCTTCCACCTTTGGTTCCAGGTATGGAACTCAGACCTCCAGCCTTGCCCACGTGCCTTGACTTCCTGAGCCATCTTGCGAGCACAAGTTTCTTAAGCTTCCTTTATACCGTTGTGTGTTTTCTAAAGTCAACATCACATTCCACCCACAAAAAAATTTCCTACACATGTAGGAAACAAATTATGTTAGCTATATCTAATTATTATAATATAAAATTAAATTTAAAAAAAGACAAAATAAAACAAAATACAAGAATTGGACCAGCAAGATGGCTTAGCAAATTAAGGCACTTGGTGCCACAACTAACAACCTGAGTTTTATCCCCAGGATACTACAAGTTAGAGAGAGCCAATTCCAGTAAGTTCTCCAAATTCCACAAGCACACAGTGGCACACAATCACGTACATATACACATGAAATTAAATAAATACATAAATGTAATCAAAAAAACTTTTTATATCTCAACCTTAGGAGTTAAAAATAACAAAAAACAGACAAGCAATAAGAAAACACTATAATTTCCATTACAAACCAACAAAAGACAGATTTTTTTTTCCCCTCTGTGAAGCAAATGCTAATACATATTACTATACCTGCACAAGAAATGCTTCGGGGTCCCTTTGTGTTCCTTTTACTCCAAGTAGAGTCGAGAAAATCACTTTGATGTTGAAGTCTTCTCCCACTTCCACAGCAAGTCCTTTTTGCTTTTCAGCAGCAATAAATGCACTTAGAAGTCTAGAATATTCTTTGAGGTTAGTGTAGGAGAATTTATACAGAGGAGTTAAACTATATACAGTCCATTGTTTGTGAAGGAGAAATCCCACCTTCTCAGGATCGATTTCTTCCTAAAACAACAAAAAAATTAAGATAAAAGTATTAAAAAGTAAAATCATGGATAAAAATTTAATCATAGCAATTTATATATTTGATATAAATTTACTACTTGATACATGATTCTGTTGTCCTAAGATTAATCTCAAATGGAGCTTGCAGGACTTTATAGGTCATCAAATGGTCCTCTGCCTTTGCCTCCCTTTCTGTATGGAAAACTCTTCCCTGAATGTTCATACAAGACAGTTCTCCATTTCATTCAGATCTGTCCTTAGTTCCTATCTAGGAGGCCACTCTAAAGTAAATGTATCAGGCCAAGTCTGTCACTATCTCCTAAGCCTTTCACTTTTATTCATAGCACTTACTATGATCTGGCTTTTGACACACCTGCGTACGTGCATGCACGCGTGTGCGTGTGCGTGTGTGTGTGTGTGTGTTATTTTTCTTGTCTCCCTTTCCAATCAAAGTACAAGCTTGTTGGGGACAGGGTTTTATCTATTCTATTGACTCTAGATGGTTGGATATAAATGAATGGCATTTCACAGGATTTGAATAACTATGTCACAGATGAACACTTATGTTCTACTACACAGACATCTTGAAAACAGTGGTGCTGTCACTTAATGGCATAGTGCTTGCCTAGCACATTCACGCCCTGAGCTTCCACCAGACACCAAAAATAGTTCTGAAGGATCTAGTTTGATTAGTCTTGAGTAACTTTTTTTTTTTTTTTTTTTTTTTTTTGGATTTTTCGAGACAAGGTTTCTCTGTAGCTTTTGGTTCCTGTCCTGGAACTAGCTCTTGTAGACCAGGCTGGCCTTGAACTCACAGAGATCCGCCTGCCTCTGCCTCCCAAGTGCTGGGATTAAAGGCGTGTGCCACCACCGCCCGACAGTCTTGAGTAATTTAAAGAATTATTTGATAGCAAGTTCACTTTCTGCAACAAAGTCTAATTCAGTATAATATATACAACACTTGGAAATACATTTGTCTATTCTCTATTAGAACCACAAGTGCCGTCAAAAACAAAATAAACCAGTGCACACTATGAAGTCAGTGTGGAGGTTCTGTAAAACACTAAAAGATGACTCAGCTAACCACTCTTGGGTATGTATCCACAGGACTCTGAATAACACACCAGAAAGATACATGCTCAATTTATGAGCATATTAAGTAAAAAAATGTGTTAGACCAGGCTTGCTTTTAATTCTAGCACTCAGGAGGCAGAGACATGAATCTCTGGGAGTTTGAGGCCAGCCTAGTCTACATAGTGAGTTCCAGGGCAGCCAAGGCAAAGGGGAGAAAAAAGAAAATGTGCTATAAATACAGAATTAAAATTTTTTAAGCTGTAAAGAAAAATGAAGTCATGACATTTGCAAGAAAATGGACAGAATGCGAGATTGTTATGTTAGGCAAAGTAAGCCAGACTTGGAAAGACAAGTACCTCATCTTTTCTCTAATATTCAGAATTTAGGGTGTGTGTGTGTGTCTGTAGTCATGGAAATAGAAAAGGGACCATGAGAGGGAAGGAAGAGCTAATAAGGGTAGGGATAATAAGATAAGACAACACACAGAAAGGAGAATTATTTGGGAGGAGGAATAAGATCAGATGGGGCGGGGGGGGGGGGAAGATAGATAACTATGAAGTATAACATATATATGAGCATTCCTCAGGGAAATCAGCCAGTTTGTATGCTCACTTAAAAAAAAAATTCATTTAAAACATAAATGTGTGCTAGGCATGGTGGTATACAACTGTAACCCAAGGTCTTCTGGGGCAGACAGAAAGATCAACCACAAGTTCAAAGCCAAACTGGCCCAGTTTACACAGTGAGTTATAAGCTAACATTCTGTTTCAAAGAAATAAAAACAAAAGTAAACAAATGGAAAACAAACAAACAGAAAACCCCTAGGAGGGTATAAAAGTATTGACAGTCTCAAAGCTCCTAGCTCCCTCCTGAGGAACTTCTTCAGTCCACACTTTCTGACATGGTCTCACAGCTCCAGCTATCTTTTAGAACAAAAGGGCATGTGTGTGGGTGGGTGGGTGTGGTTTGAGAACAATGTTTGCCACAGTTACAGCATTCATTGAAATAGTTACATACTTTTTCTTATTAAATAGATGGGAAAATTATAAAAAAGCACTAAACTAGACATTTCTATCTTTATATAAAATATCTCAGAGGGGTTGGAGAAATGGCAGAAGAGCTGGGTTTGGTTCTCAGCACCCACATGATGGTCATGATCATGAGTCACTCCAGTTCTAGGAGCCCAGTGCCCTCGTCTCAATTACTCAGGCCCACATGTGGTACAATATATACATGCAGGCAAAATAATATAGTCATATAGGTGCACACAGGTAATCTCAGCTCACAAGTGGAAGGAAGGAAGGAAGGAAGGAAGGAAGGAAGGAAGGAAGAAGTCTCTCAGGCTAAGGATATAGTTCAGGGGTAGAACTAAGCTTAACATATACAAGGCTCTGCATTAAAACCCCATTAGCCCCACACTAAACTCCCAAAAAACTTTCTGGCTGAGAACTATTACTTTCAGTACCAGCACTAGCAATTTCTCATCAAAATGTCATAAGAAGCAAAACTTGACTCCTAACCCAAAAGGCACTAGACACACACCATGGGCAAGAGGAGACGGCTACATTGAAGGTACCAAAGAATCAAAGATCCAATGAACCTATCAAAAATGCTAGACAAGAATATAAACTTTAAACATTGGGAAACATAAGAAATACAAAAATGAGGAACATTGCAGTCAAACAGGGGAAAGTATGAGTCTGTATTCTTCAAAAATGACAATGTCATAGAAGAAAAATATTGAGGAAATGAAATGGATTAATGGAGATTAGGAGAAACAAAAAAGCTACTGTGGTTAAAATGTGAAATTATTTCCTGAACTGCTCCTCATTATCTGTCAGCTAGAAATCGGTATGTAAATGGATATATTCTTATTCATATATTTTCAACCACTGACAGTCCCAAAGGCAAACAAACCATACCTGCAACTGTGAACACTGGGGTAATTTTCTCCGAGGTGGACTGGGAAAAAATGAACTCTGCCTCCTGACTGATTCCAGCCGTTTCTGCAGAGGGGTGGCACCTATAAAATAGTCTTTCAGACTTGAGGTCCTTCGTCTAGAAGTTGGTCCAGGTGAATTATAAGAATCCATAGTCTGCAATAAGAAAAAAAAGTAACTCTAGAATTCTAAGCACTAAAATAATTCCTGCACATTGCTCTACAGGAACGTCCGACTCTGTTTCCTTCCCACTCCCACCTTTTCCACAACAACCTCTTAGTTCCTGCCTGAGTCACTGCTCTCTTGCTGTGACGAGAAATACCAAAACAAGAACTTTACAGTACAAGCTCTAGAGTAAGTCAATTACGTGATCTATGTTGGCCAAGAAAAGCTGCAAGACCACCATGAACAAGGGGCACAGCAGGGGCTCCATGATGACCCTGGAGCTGCCTCTAAATCGGCCGGCCCAGTTCAAAAGGAGAGAGAAGACATGAGGTGAGTTTGCGTGAGCAAATGGAAAGACAGAACACTTATGACAACTGGCACAGTGTGGGGATGGCTCTCTTCCAGGGCCCTTGGAGGTTGGAGGACCCAAGGGAGCAAAGGCTAGTCCTAAGAGAAAAGCCAGCCACCTCACAGTTGTCTCCTCCCCTTTCCTGAAGGAGGCTGCAAAGCAACAGCAACCGAATGTCCAGGCACTAGACTGGCCCCAGATCAATAAAGAAAGAGAAAACCATGTTCCCAAGCTGGAGCTCTGCTAAATCCTGCTGGCTTTGCCACTTAACACCCTCAGCAGCCAGAAAGAGGTGAATTTGCTAGTCAAAACACTGGAGGGTATCTTTAGAGCCACAACCCCAAACCAGCAAGACCCTGTAGCCAAAACTTGACTTGCAGAGGAAATACTTCAACTGTTGCTTTCCAAACCTGCCTGTGTGAGGGATTTCCTTTCTTACCAACCCTCCTTCAATCAGAAACATAACAAAACTGAGCCAGACAGGATATAGAGTCAAGATGGTGCAACTGTCAATGGACCTGTTGATGGATGAACTGAGACGAGAATCGCTCTCATAAGCATGGTCTGGAAAGCAAGATGACCTGCACAGGTACCTCAGGGGGCATGGCCATTTCCTATTCCACAGGAGTGGTATACCACAGTGGAGGATGGTGGCAACATTCTCTGGGGAGGGTAAACTACCTAGAAGAGCCAGCTGTCTATATTAGGGGAACAGTAACCTCGTCTTCTATTCCTTCTCCATTTGCTTTGGCCCCTTCGCTTTACCTGGATTCTCAAAACTCCAGGGCTGGCAAGATGGCTCAGCTAGCAAAGGAACTTGCAGCCAAGTGAGATAACCTGAGTTCAATTCCTGAAACCCAAACAGTAGGCGAGAATTGACTTCTGCAAGTTTCCTCTGACACCATACCCTTGCCAAAGCACATGTGAACACACATGTACAATATTTAAGAAATAAAAACCACCACAGATAGGGAAGCAGCATTTAAACAGGCATTTTTCATTTTGCCATAGACATAAAGTATTTCCATGATGTGACCTTGGCCACATTCCTGGGTAAGTCTCCTGGTGTGAACTTCAGTTAGGTTTAGGTTACAGAATTTTTCTATGGAGTGTGCTATTTGGGACAATAATTGCTAAGCATTCATTATTTTCCAAGTTTGTTTGTAACCACTTAACAAATATCAAGCCTTTAACGACTATTCTCCTTTTGTTTTGGGAGTGTTTTGTTTATAATGACTGTGTTGCTTAGGTTAGCCTAGAACTCACAACAATTCTCTTGCCTCAGCCTCCTTTATGCTGGGACATATCTGGTACTAGCCTTGCATTTACTCCTCAAATGACCCATTATGTAAAGCTACTGTGTTGCCAGTTGACAGAAGGGGAGGGTCCGAAATCGTTCCCAAGCCTTAACCCTCTCAGCAGTTCTTTAGTATCCACAGAACATCTCTCGCCAAAACTTCTCTTGTTGCTAGTTCATGAAAAAAGGGCCCTTGAGTTAATCACTGTAATACTGCCACAACTGTCAATCGACTGTTCCAATACCAACGTTCACGTTAACGCCTCTGGGTTCCCATCTAAACACACAAAAGCATTGCAGAGACAATGACCACACAACAGAGCTCAAGGCAGTACATAGCCTATCCAGGACCCACCCAAAACATCTTACCAAAAATATGTCGTGATGACGTTGTCATCCATTCCGGATTCACGAATCATTCTTCAAGTCTGGCTCCAAGACTACGACGAGAGGAAATTTTGATTTCTTTTGTTTTTGTTGGGGAAAAAAAAAAAAGAAAGAAAGAAAGCGGCCAAAATGACTGCCCAGAGAGAACCGAAGCAATCCCTGGTGACTTCAGAAGGGACATCAAGGCCAGGGAGGGAACCTGGATTCCCTCAGACGCGGGTAACACCTGCGACGTCACCTTGGGAGAGACAGTTCCGCTTCCCTAGCGGGCGGGCTCTGCGACCCTCACTCCTCGGGAGCTAGCGTCTGCCCACGAAAGACAGGCGTCCCCGCAGCCCCCTCTCGGAAGCTCTCCTGTGATCGAAAGTAGACTTGAAACCTCCCTTCGCGAGCGAAGGCGCAGCCCCTCGAACTCCAAGCCCTCCAGTTTAAAATTATTTCCCGACATGCTCTGCGGCCGACGCAGACAGCCTCTCCTTTGGCCCGCCGATTTCACGTAAATTAGCAACTGAAGTCGCCATTTTAACTAAGGGCAGGGCCTGTCCCATCAAATTCCCGATTGCACCGCGTTCCTCTTCCGTCTTACAACTGCTGCGAAGCTTGCTCTCAAATTTCTGCCCACAATAAACGTGGCGGAGGCGCCTTCGTTCTGATTGGCCGAATACTTTACGTGAGTTTGGCGCTCACGGGGCGTTAGAGGGACTTCGGAACATGGTTAGTGTTTGGGTTCGAACCTCCGAACCTCTTCTGTTCGCTCTCCTTCAGAAGTTCGTGTTTCACGAGGTTGAACTGCCTTCTTCTTATGCCCGGGTCACCTTCGCGAAAACGTGGAAATAAAGGAAGGACGTGCTCCTGGTGACCGGCCTCCCCGCGCCTGGACTGGGCTGGGGTCCGGCTAGCGCTGCGGTTGGGAATCTTTTGGTGTCTTCCTGCCGCAGCCTTGTTTAATTAAAGTGGGAACTGATGCGCCGAAGGAAGCAAAGGTTTTGCCCTATCCGTTCACCCAAGGGCCCTAGAGACCTTGCGGATTAATCCACTTTGTAAATACTGGAACGTTCTGCGGAGGAGGGTCTGGATGCATTTGATTGGAAACTAAAATTTTAAGGGCCCGGGTATTCCGGAAACGGAGTTTTGAGCATCACACCCGCGGCGTAGGATTCGTGATCGTCTCTCGCGGACCTGCGACTTCAACATGTATCTTGGTTCTTGGTTAAGTCGTCTATCCCGGGGTTTATCCAGACCCATTGGAAAGACCACCCAGCCAGTCTGGGGTTCTCTCTCCAGAAGTCTGACATTGGGTGCGCAAAGAATTCCAGGTGAAAGTAGCAACGACCTTCTGCCTGTTTTCGATAGCTTGTTTTCCCAGTCTTAACTGCATATTTATAGCAGATCATTCAAATCAATACTACAAAAAAAAAAATCTGAATAGTAACTGCACTTTCAAACTTAGAAAATTTCTAAGGTCACTTGGCAAGGAAACGTAGTATTTAAAATTGGACAATTACAATTTTAGGTCCATGCAAGTGCTAGGTCATGTAGAAAGTTTAGATTTCTAAACAATGCAAAATTCACTTGGGCTTTAGCACATTTGCAGGTAAACACGATAGAGGGATTGTATGATGTAGCCTATTTATAAATCTCATCAGGCTATCAGGATGGTTCAGTGGGTTGAGGCACTTACTGCCAAGCCCGAGGACCCAAGTTCATTTCCTGGGCCCACATGGTGAATGCAAGAACAGAATCCAACAACTTGTCCTCTGACCTCCACAGGTGCACCATGACACGTGGGCTCCCACCTGTATGGTACACACACACACACACACAAATGTAATTTAAATTTTTTTTTTACTACACCCATTGACCTGAAACAACTAATATACCATGAATGGGGAATATTTTAAACAGACTACAAATATTTTTACTGTTGCCTTATACATTTTTTTTTCTCTTTCTAAAGAATTTAGTAGCTTTGTTGCTCGGACCAACACATGTGGAGAATTGCGTTCTTCCCACTTAGGCCAAGAAGTCACTCTGTGTGGATGGATTCAGTACCGAAGGTAAACTGAGGCAAATGGTTTAGGAATACATGAATTGGATTTATTCCCAAACTATTCTAACCTTTACTAATTTTTATCCAGTCAGAGAATTATATTTTGCCACTTTCCTCATTCTCTCAGAATTCACTGCATTTTCGGTCTGTTCTGTTTTGGCTGTCTCTTTCCCTTTCTGTTTGCTTTTTAATATATTACTGGAGGATGACTCTTCCACTGCCCCCCCCCTTGAGATTTTATTTATTTTTATGTGCATGGGTGCAAGTATGCATATATGTTTGTCTGGGTACCATGTGAATGCCTGGTGCCCACAGAGGCCAGACAAAATTGTTTAATTCCATGAAACTAGAGTTACAGACAGTTGTGAGCTGCCATCTGGGTGCTGGGAATCAAGCCTGGGTCCTCTGGAGGAGCAAGAAATACTCTTAACCTCTGAGCCATCTCTCCATCCCATTTCCCTTTATTAATAAACTACTTTAAAAAAAGAAGGAAGCCGGGTGGTGGTGGCGCACGCCTTTAATCCCAGCACTCAGGAGGCAGAGGCAGGCGGATCTCTGTGAGTTCAAGGCCAGCCTGGTCTACAAGAGCTAGTTCCAGGACCGGAACCAAAAAAAGCTACGGAGAAACCCTGTCTCAAAAATTAAAAAAAAATAAATAAAAGAAGAAGAAAAAGTTTAAGTTTCTTAAATAATAAAAATTTACTCTTAGAATTTATTCCATTTTCATGATTACAGACATTATAGAAAAGAATAGGCAAACAAAAATAAAGTAAGTGATGTGCTGGTTAATATAGCTGGAGCATAAACTCCTTGTACTTCAGCCTCTGCACAGGTACTCCATGTACTCCTGAACAACAGTGAGAGCTCTAGAATGGGGTTCAGTGTTCTTGACACTTTCACCCCTTAATCCAGCACCTCTTACTAAAGGGGACAAATTAGTAACTATATGAATAATTAATAAAAATTTAAGTTGAAAAAAAAAGACAATTTGGCCAGGTATGGTAGTCCATGCCTGTAATCTTAGCTAAGGCAGGAAGATGTCTCAAGTTCATGGATAGCCTGAGCAACAAGGTCTTCCTCAAAAAGAAAAAAAAGTCATAAGATAGTTGCATGAATATAGCTTATGAAAGCACATAATTATAAAAATGGGGAAATTACATGGAATTTTTATTGCTGGTTTTGTCTTTAAATTTTGAGCCGAAGCCGGGCGGTGGTGGTGCACGCCTTTAATCCCAGCACTTGGGAGGCAGAGGCAGGCGGATCTCTGTGAGTTCGAGACCAGCCTGGTCTACAAGAGCTAGTTCCAGGACAGGCTCCAAAACCACAGAGAAACCCTGTCTCGAAAAACCAAAAAAAAAAAAAAAATTTGAGCCGAGAGACTTTATCCTAAAATATTCTTTCTCTTTCCATTATTCAGGCAAAACACCTTCTTAGTCCTAAGAGATTGCCACGGTCTTGTTCAAATTATCATTCCCCAGGATGAGGTAATAAAAGGTTTCCTACCATTATCTAAGAGCTTCTTTGATAGGATGTAGTGTAAGCTAAGTAGTTTGATCAGCGTATTGGAAGTTTTAATTTCAGAAGTTAATTGTTAATAAAAACTGAAAACTACTTTTATGTACAACATTATGAAATGACAAACTGAGGGAATAAAGAGCTGGCTAATCTGCAAAGAGCACCTGCTGCCTTTGTCAAGGACCAGGGTTCAAGTCCCAACACTCAGATGGCATCTTACAGCCATCTCTAACTCCAGTTCCAGGGAATCCAACGTTCTCACTGGCTTCCTGGGGCACCAGGCATATGTATATTATACTCACATCTGGCAGACAGCTAATACCAGAGACAAAGGGCCAGTTTCTCTAATATGAAAAAAACTACACAAAAAAGGGAGGCAGGGGCCCCAAATGGCAAGATGGCTCAGAGGGTATAAAGGTGCCTGACCGCGTGAGTGCAAAACCCACATGGTATAAGGAGAAAACGACTCCCACAAGTTGTCTTCTGCCTTCCATGTATGCCGTGAGTGTCTGTGCATGCACACACATATACAAAATAAATGCAATAAACTAGCTACCAAAAGAAATCAATAAACCAGAATGTGCAGATGAAATTTATAGAAAACATAACCTAAAAATAATTTTCAAAAAAAATATAAGTCAGGGATGATAGCATACATTTAAATTGGGAAGCAGATGCATGAGCTCAAGAATTCAAGGCCAAGCCGGGCGGTGGTGGCGCACGCCTTTAATCCCAGCACTTGGGAGGCAGAGGCAGGCGGATCTCTGTGAGTTCGAGACCAGCCTGGTCTACAAGAGCTAGTTCCAGGACAGGCTCCAAAACCACAGAGAAACCCTGTCTCGAAAAACAAACAAACAAAAAAAAGAATTCAAGGCCAGCTTCATCATTATAGTCCATCAGGACCAGCCTGGACTACCTGAGTCCCTATCTGAAATACATATAGATAATGTGTACACACATACACATACATACATGGAAGTATACCAAAGGCAAAGATGTGATTTAGGACTGTGGAGGTGGCTCAGTGGGTAAAAATTCTTGCTACCAAGCTGACAGCCTGAGGTTGATCCCTGGACCCATGTGGTAGAAAAAGAACCAATTCCTACAAGTTGTCCTCTGACCTCTACATACAAGCTATGGCATGTGCACATATGTGTACACAGTCATACAAACACACACTAAATAAAGCCAGCCTAAACAACTTAGATTGTGTCTCAAAATAAAAGATAGATGGCAAGCTAGGCATAGTGGCACATGTCTTTAATCCCAGCACTTGGGGGGCAGAAGCAGGTAGATCTCTGTAAGTTTGAGGCCAGACTGACTCGTCTGCATAGTGAGTTCCAAGACAGCCAGAGCTCTATAGTGAACCCTGTCTCAAAAGAAAGAAAGAAAAAAAAAAAAAGTAGCCAGTGGACATGGTAGTGCATACCTACAATCCCAGCATTTGGGAAGCTGAGGCAGGAAGGCTGAGCATTCAAGGCCAATGTGAACTATATAGTGAAGCCCTGTCAAAGGGAAAGAGGGAGGGAGAACTCTTGGTGGTCTTGCTGGCAGTGTTCTGTGGAGCCAGAGTAGCAATGGGATTTACCAAAGCTTGTAATAACATCAGTGAGACAGCTCCAAGTCAGTAAACTGTGAATTCCGTTTTTCCAAACTATAGGCTTACTGAAGAGTTCTGTAAGTTCATTTATTCTTAGACCTGACTCCTGTCCCCCTCGTTTTGCAGTCGGCTGCGTCTGTGAAGAAGATCTTATGTGAAGCTCCTTTGGAATCTGTAGTGAAAGTAACTGGGACAGTTATCTCCCGGCCTCCAGGACAAGAGAATCCAGTGAGTAGTTTATAGAAAGTTTGTCTTTGTGCATATACATTAACC